CCCCCGCCCCCTTAGGAATTCCCCCCCATATAAATTTTGAATTTTTGATCTAAAAACAAAACGACTGCAAGTTGAAAAGATTTATTGTGTGATTTATATATTTATTACAAGGAGACAAAATTACATACACATTTTAGGCTTCTTAGCAGCTGGTGGTGTGCACAGTCGGCATAACCACTCATTTGAGGTACTTAGACTAGTGTCATATTCTACACATCTAAAGTGGAACCATTGCCAAACAAAGATCGCATAAAATCATGTTGTCGTATTCTGCTGGCAGTTTACACTCACATAAGGTCGCGATTGTGACGGTGTTGTGTTGTGTTGTGTTGTGTTGTGTTGTGTTGTGTTGTGTTGTGTTGTCTTGGCTGTGTTGCTGGATTTCGACGTGCTTGGGGGAAGTGGATCAGTTCTCTATTCTCAAAACAGGAGGGAAGATGGCTACTTATACTATAGCCATTCAATCATTGCATGTTTACGTCACTTATATTATAATATTATCAATAGCATATTATGAAAACAATCGCTTGCAAATTTTATCAATAGCAGTGTTAACAATAGCCGCCACAGTAATCACTTGCTAACGATAAACTATAGGATTAATGTGTTGGGAAGCGTATTGACTATTGTCCATTGAATCGTCAACTTTCCATGTCAGTGTCAGTGATTTTTCCATGCCTGTGTCAGTGATGTAATCTTGATTCTTGACTTCCGCAAAGAAAATTGCATGATATATATGTGGTGTGGTTTATTCAAATAATTTCATGATACTTTGATTTTATTAGTGCCTTAAACATTTGAGAATGTAACTCTGCAAAACTAAAAGCTTTTTTGTCTTTTTTGAAACGTATATTATTGGAGTATTACCTATTGGCAAGTTCTACCCTTCGCTTCTGAGATTTACAAACTATATTGAAATAATGCAAGTAAAAAATAGTGACAACTTATAAGCCATACATTTTCCGCTAACGACAAAACGTGGATGTAAAACAATATCAATAATTACAATAACCACCACGGTGATTACTTTTTAACAATGAGTTTAAGGAATAACACTGAAAGTGCAAATTATGCATGGCGTGCTGTGAAGCGTCATAAGTCCTATTGATCTACTGTAAGTCTGTAACTGTGTAAGCCCTTTCGATATATGTAATTGTAAATTTGTATTTTTACAGGGCTTGAAATAACGTTGCCAAAGTTCCCGATCATGGTGATCGGCAGTTATGACTTTCCCTGCTTTTTTCAGGTTGGAAACCGAAACCCTGCTTTTCCGCCGATCATAAGCAATTTCTTACCGATCAAGCTCTGTCTTAACAATTCCGAATTGATACTGATTTGCGGAAATGACTAAACCCATGTAATAATTATCCCATGCAACTGTTAGGAAGAGCAAAATTTTTAATGGAGGACGAAAATCCCAATTGGAAAGGTGAAGTTTCTAAAGGGTAGCGAAAATCCTGGGACACCGGTACAACCAACGCGACACGAAATTTAGAGCTATATGAAAGTTGCATGTCCTATATGGGCAAGCAACAAAAACGTTAAGCTGGAAAAATTTAGGTAAATCTAACCCCCCCCCCAGAGGCAAAGTCTTAGCAACGGACCGTGGTCGTTTCCACCATGCCCTTACAGTATCACGTGTGTTCATATATGCGGAGATAAGACCCCGGATACGAAGTATATTTCATTAGTCGGCATTAAAAAAATATAGTGAATATCAGGTCATTTGGCAATTACATATCATGCAAACGTTGACATAATCCATAACATAATCATATAGCGATTGCAGCATAACTAAATATAGTGAATTTCTACTATGCACAAATTGCAGAATTCTCTCCACAGAAACGGAAATGCGCCAAACATTCATCGAAACTAAATGAAATATCATACCAAGTTGGGTTTTTTTCATGCAACTAGATGGTGCAATAGCCAGTATCGTTCCAAAATAATGTTAATTTAGATCATCTTTTCATTGACAAACAAGCTTTGAACAAAGTCAACAAGAATGGATAACGGTGCACACATACCTAAAATGTCAATAAATAAGGTCTTAAATCTGATTTTCCTGTTATATTATATAGTTTCGCCCGAGACGGCTCGCAGAATGTAGAAGAATGAACAGATACTCGCAACAGGCACTTTGTTTTTGTATATACGTCTGTATGACAATGTATTTCTCATACACGTCTAAGCTGCGTTCGCGCATATGGCTTGCATTGTCTATGCACGACATGTAGTTGATGTCGGGCGTCGGATACCCTCGTAATCTTAGCTGCCAATCTGGACAATTTTGAAATAAACACACTTGTAAGTCTAAGACGACATCCAGCTATCTAGGACGACTTTCGACAATTTCGATGGGTATATAGTATTCTGCCGAACTATCAAGGATTCGAATATTCTACCGAATAGATCTATATGCACACACTAGATCGATCTGCACAGCAAAATCTTATTCGTGAACGATTCGTAAGCCGAAAGTGTGCGATGCTCTTGCATACGCCGTTTTGCCATTTGTGGCCTGTTAAATTTCTGCGGCAGCGAAATTCTTCGCGAGAAATAGCGTCTGCGAAATATGGATGGTTGCACTTTCTGGACGCATATCCTGCTTTCTTCTGGTCGTGAACATGTGCATGTTTTTTGGTCTAATCGTTAATTCTCTCGTTAAATAAAAAGTTACTATGAACATGAATACTCATAAAAACCCATGGTTGTTATTTTATGAATGGAATTTTCGAATGTAGATTTCTATACCAGCCAGGAGCGTTTAGAAAAATGTACCTGTAGGCCCTCTGGTATAGGAATCGAACCTGCGCCCTGCGATTCAGGTGCAGCGCTCTAACCAACTGAACCACATAGTGGATAGTTGCATTATCCGCAACTGCTCCTGGTTACGTACTTACGTGTATAGATATTGAAAAGATCTTGTCTTCAAAAAATATTTACCAATGAGTGAACAAAGATAGCAGAAGACGCAGTTCACCTGGGCTTTGATGAAGGGGATCCCTGACATCATACAATATGATTTACAGATTCAGTGCAGCCCAGAAACATTTGGGCCCTAGTGATTTCCTTCTTGTTCTTTAAGGGGTGCTGGAGCATTCGCCCTCGGAATAATTTTGAATCTAAAGTCCCAGGAACGTCAAAATTGTGTATTCTGAAAGACTGTTTGATAGTAATATCTATGCATACTGTATTTCACGTTGTATCGAGGCAATTTGCCCGCTGTTGCACCCAGCTCTAGATGCCCCTGCCTTGGTATGATTATACACTAGCAAAGAAAAATAGTAAAATTCCTACTATGGCATTTGCAATTGCATCACTAAATCCATAGTATATCCATACGAAAATTGGATTTCCATACTATTTTCAACTAAGATCCATTTCCATAGTAAGGATTTAAAAAAAAAATTTCCACTGATAGGTCCGTTCCCAATGTGTGCCATTCTGTTTAATGACTTGTTTTATCATTATATTGCTTCAAAACAGATTCTGTCCTTTGCATTATAGATGCAAATGTTATTTTATTTAATATCTGTTCATATCATTTTCAGGTCGGAGATAATCAATGTCTACTCCAGTCTTTAAAAGATTCTCCATATTACAAAGGATTCGCTGATAAAGCTTCGTTATGGGAGACACGTTTGGCTGATCTTGATGAATATCTTCATAATTTAAATCAGATTCAAAGAAAATGGGTTTACCTAGAGCCAATTTTCGGCCGTGGTGCTCTGCCTAAGGAGCAGGGGAGATTTAGAAGTGTCGATAATGATTTCAGGTAATTGTTGTAATCAAATTACTCTGACAATCTCGTAAGAAAATTACATCTCGCATTGCACGGTAAACTGTGCAGCGTGATTTTGTTGACAAAACAAGTGGACTAGTATAGATCGATTTATTTAACCGAAAAGTGCACCTGTGTGTGATAGAAAATAATGATTTATCATCTTCTTATCCTAATTTGTTTGGTTTTCTAAGTGATGGCTGAATATAT